GCTCCTTCTTCACATTTCCCATATTCATGTTCTCATGCACACCTTCCACATTTTTGCTTGCCTCTACACACGACTGCAACATGTCCGTACTTTTGGCACTTAAAACATCTTAGTGGTGGAGGAACGTATGGCCTGACTTCATAGCTTATATATCCAATGTATACTCTAGACGGTAACTTTTCACTATCTATTTTAAGCATCACTGCTAAGCTATCACATTTCTCCCCATTTCTTGTTGTTTTCAGACGTTTTACTTCAACCACTTTGGCTCCAGTTACATTCTCTTTAATTTGTTCAGTTGTTACAGCTGTAAGAACCCCAGAGATAACACCTCTGACAAATTTTTTATTCTCTACCCTTGTAACGACCACTCTTTGTCACTCGATTTTATTTAGTTTGGCGGCCTTATTTTGTTGGGTATTGTCTTTACATTCACTTAGTAATGCTCCATTTCGTAAAATTCTTGCACTTTTAATTTCTCCTATTAGTTTATTTAGTGATACTGTAAGTTGAATTGGGTTCCACTTACCAAATGATGATCCTTCCTGCACTAGCTTCATTATTACTTTGTATTCTCCATATTGCCATATTCTCCGATTTCCACTGTAGTTTCTCCAATTCCTTGATCACTGTTGTTTTCAGACGTTTTACTTCAACCACTTTGGCTCCAGTTACATTCTCTTTAATTTGTTCAGTTGTTACAGCTGTAAGAACCCCAGAGATAACACCTCTGACAAATTTTTTATTCTCTACCCTTGTAACGACCACTCTTTGTCACTCGATTTTATTTAGTTTGGCGGCCTTATTTTGTTGGGTATTGTCTTTACATTCACTTAGTAATGCTCCATTTCGTAAAATTCTTGCACTTTTAATTTCTCCTATTAGTTTATTTAGTGATACTGTAAGTTGAATTGGATTCCACTTACCAAATGATGATCCTTCCTGCACTAGCTTCATTATTACTTTGTATTCTCCATATTGCCATATTCTCCGATTTCCACTGTAGTTTCTCCAATTCCTTGATCACTGTCCGTACCCTCACCGTTTGAGATGATTTTTTATGTTTATGCCATCTACGCTTTCAATTAGTTTTAATGTCTACCGAATTCCAGTCTTCAAATTTCCCGCTACCTACTTCCATTCTTCCTGCTTCGCTATCAAATCCGTCACTTCCTTCTGCCATCTCCTTTCCATTCACAGTCCAGTTGTTGCCAACCAACCACCTTGAAAAAACATCCCGGCCACCATTGCCAATCAATTAATAACCACGCCCTTTATGACGTTTACAAATTACAAATTTTCTTTCATAATTAACAGATTAAATCAAACAAATAATATTTAAACATGCATATAAAAGAAAAATACATTTTCTTAAATGGCTACAACATTGCCATTTTAGTCTTACCAAACAAGAAATTAATTAACACTATTTTCTTCCTGTTTGAGGCAATATATTTTGGTCCAAAAATAAAAAGACCATTTGTAAATAGAAAACCAAAATTATGACTCAATTCTCTTAACACACCAAGAATTTCTTTTAACCTTGAACAACCAATAAAAATATGAAAAACTGTTTCAGAAACCCCACAAAAAGAACACTGTTCCCTTTGCAAATGATTCAAACATGCCTTGTATCTATTTGTTGCTATTATCCAATGTGAAATCTGCCATTGTAAGTCTCCATTCCTTTTTTCAATTGTTTTCTTATATAAGGACCTCCAACTACCTTTTGGAGAGGTACTTGACTCAACATATACAGTCCACTTAGTATCTGGAAGTTCTTTTAACGCTTTTATATTGAGAACATTTACACAAACACAATAAAGAGCTTTCTTAGAAATAGTGTTAAAAAAAACAAAGTTCAGGTGTTCTAAAAGAGAGCAAACTTCCTTCAGTCTCCTGCCAAAGTCCTCAATCCACACTGATCTTGGGGAATACATTCTCAGATATTCTAACTTTTATTGGCAGAACTGGAAAAGATTCTTGAATATCAGCTAACAATTTTTGCACAGTTTGAATAGAACGGATACCAGTCTTTATGGCCAGTTTTTCTGCAGTAATCCATTGGTCATTTGACCTAAGATGTCAAATCTTATATATTCCTGCTTTCATTAAGCTTGTGCGCACAGTTTGTGAATCCAATATCACACTGGATAGGTGAGAATTAAAAAACTAAGGCTTCTTCTAAATACCATTGACTAGGTGTCTCAGATTCCTCTCTCTTAACAATAAAAATCTGCCATGCATTGAATACTGAGGCATAAAAAGAAGAGAGTCCACTAAGATCCATCTCCTTTAAATTAATTAAAAAGATATGTCTATCCAAATTCAACCATCCCACTCGGTTCAATAAGGCACAAGTTAATCTTATCCAGTTCTGTAATTGATGATGAAGTAATCTTTGAGCAGTATGCAGTCTAAAAGCAGCCACTTTGGACCTAATATCCATAAGAGCTTGACCTCCTTCATGTACCTGCAGATACAAAACTCTCGTAGCCAATGTTGTCCAAACCAGAAGAAATTTACAAATAGTTTTTGGATTGCTCCAAAAAATTCTTCTGGTGGATCCAATGCAATTACCTTATGCCATAGGATAGAGGCGGCAAGATTATTTATAACCAGCACTCTTCCCCTGTATGATAATTGAGTCAAAATCCAGTTCCATTTAGACAACCTGGCACAAATTTTGTCCTTTACACCTTCCTAGTTTTTTCTTTGATAGTTTTCAGAACGCATAAAAATTCCTAAAAACTTAAAACCAATTTTGTCCCACTTAACGTTTTCAGGGATAACTGCTAAAGGCATTGGTGTTTTGTCATTACACCAAAATGCTTCTGTTTTACCCCAGTTGAGTTTTGCAGATGATGCTCTCTCATACAAACAAATACTGTAATCAATAATATCAATGTCTTTTTGTTCTTTAACAATTACAGTAATGTCATCTGCATACGCAGTCAGTTTGAGAATGAGTGTCATAACCAGAGGCGTCATGCCCATTCAAACCGAGGGGGCACGTGTCCCCTCAGATTTCTGAGCGAAGTGGAATTTGAATGCCGCTTCCAAAATAGAAAAATAGCCGAATAATAATCTACGTATAATCTACATGGACCAAGATGGCAGCGCGACCAGTCGCAGCAGTCCAGTTATTTAGTGTGTTTTGTGTTTATTTTGTATGTTTCTATATGTACACTAGTGTATGCGTGTACACAGTACAGCAGAGCCGAAATACTTCTGCTTGCGGACAATAATCACAACATTTCAAACAATAATAGCTGGGAATTTATTCCACAGTCAAAGTCAATTACTGCGACCCGGATGCTACAGTGCAGACCCTTCTACTAGCCCAGAGAGTTTATATCGATAGTTATAACAGCTGTTTATTTACCACTACATGCTAACGCCAGGTTAGCCATGGAGAAGCTGCATCACTCCATTAGCCAACATTTGTCGGCCCAACCAGACAGCATTGTTATAGCAGCGGGAGACTTTAATCATGCCTGTTCAGCCCAAATTCTATAAATATGTTAACTTCCAGACAAGAGGAAAGAACACTCTAGATCAAGTGTACTGCAACATTACACATCTGCCACATCTAGGACTCTCAGACCATCTGTCTCTGTCCCTGATACCAGCATATAAACCTCTCATCTGTACACAAAGACCATCCACAAAGACAGTCAAAATATGGACTATGGAAGCCACCTCAGCCCTGCAGGACTGCTTTGAGGATACAGATTGGGACATATTTGCTGAGGGGACAGACCTGGAGGGACACACATCAGCCATTCTTTCATATATAAATTTTTGTGCTGAGAATGTGCCTGAGACAAGGACTGTGAAAGTATTTCCTAACCAAAAACCATGGTTCAACAGCAAGGTAAAAACCCTGCTTAGAGCAACGGCTTGGTTTAAATCTGGGGATCCTCAGGCCTACAGAGAGGCTCAGAGTAACCTGACGAAGGGCATCAGAGAGGCAAAATGCAGGTACAAGCAGCACATAGAGAAATACTTCAACAGTAACAACTCCAGATATATGTGGCAGGGGATAAAATCTCTCACTGGCTATAAGTACAACCACACAGCCGCAAACACCACAGACAGCACACTGCCAGACACTTTAAACAACTTCTTTGCTCGTTTTGACCGCCGGAGCGGAGATACAAGTCTACACACTGCTTTACCAGAGGGAAACAACCCCATAGTACTACACCAGCACCAAGTCAGATCCACACTATCAGAATCACGAGAGGAAAGCAGCTGGTCCAGATGAAGTCACAGGAAGAATCCTTAAGGCCTGCGCGGACCAGCTAGCGGGTATTTTCACCACCATCTTTAATCTCTCGCTTCTGCAATCCATAGTTCCGACTTGCCTCAAATCAGCTACAATTATCCCAGTACCAAAGAAAAGCACAGTGCATCGCCTTAATGACTACCGACCAGTTGCCCTAACCCCCATCACCACTAAATGTTCTGAGAGACTCATCCTCTCTCATATTAAAGCTTCCATCCCTACCGACCTTGATCAACATCAGTTTGCATACCGAGCATCACAGCTCTCCACACAGCGCTTACTCACCTGGACAGGGGAAACACCTATTGTAAAGGAATCTGTTCTCTGTAGTTAGGTGGAATACTAGTCCACTACGGAACTCCAGCAAGAAGTGCGACAGGAGACAGATGGTTGTTCAGTGGTTTATATCTTCAGGATGTGTCACTTTAAATCATCCAGCATTGTACAGTTCTTAAATTAACAGAGGTGGCAAGTGTGGTTTAGTCTGAAATAAACAAATAAAATATCAGAATCCGTCTGTATACAGTAAACAAACATATACCTCAGTATACATCTTCTCTATACAATAATATTAAATACCACACGATAAATGGCGCTAAAATATGCATGTAAATAATGCGTGCATCACTTCTCCAAATTCTGTATAAACTGAACTACAATATGCACCGATGACAACAATCAGACAGGCAGTGGCAACATTACTGCAATATGACAGGTAAAGAAAGATAAATTAACTTACGTTCATGCACGCACATTTACCACTCATTTGAAATAGCGGCAGAGAAATGAAACTGAAAGTAAACTGAAACCGCTCTGGCGGACTGCCGTCAGCGCTCTGTACACACACAACTATGTCACACGCACGTTGAGGAGACTACCCTTACAAATTAATAAGGAATTTAGTACAGCCGCCCCCAGATTAGCATAGCTAATATGTAGAAATATGAATTCCTTAGTCCTTAACGTCTGTATCCTCACCGTCTGGGCGTGCTGGGAGTTGAACTAGCTTAGCCACAGGGCGAAGATACAGGCGGTCCTTTATTCTGACCTTTGCTGACCTAATATGGCCGTCTTCGCTGGGTACCAGACTCTCAATCCTACCGATGGGCCAGTGAGCCCGAGGCAGTTGTGGGTCCACCACCATCACTACAGCATCCTCGGTCAGATCCTGAGTCTCACGCTGCCACTTAAGACGAGGCTGAAGGTTAGGCAGGTAATGTCGGGTAAAGTACGCCCAGAAATGATCAACTACAGTCTGAGCATGGCGCCATCGACGCTTAGACAGAGGTTCTGGAGTGTAGACTACTTGGGGTAGCGAAGCATCCCGCCGCCCCATGAGGAGGAAATTGGGGGTGACCGGGTCTACATCTGCTACGTCAGACGAGACGTAGCCTAGTGGTTTGCTATTCAAGATACCCTCTATCTCAACTAGCACCGTGTGCAGGACATCTTCTGGCAAGGATTGGTTTCCTGTGACGACCTGTAGGGCCGACTTCACAGATTTGATCTCACGTTCCCATGTGCCGCCAAAATGCGGTGCTGCAGGAGGATTCATCTTGAAAGTAATTTGCTTGTCTGCCAGCTGTTCCTGCAGTTGAGGTTCCATTTCTTTAAATGCCTCTCTCAGCTCTGTTCCGGCACCTCGGAAATTAGTTCCCTGGTCAGAGATAATCTCCGATGGAGTACCCCGTCGGGCTATGAAACGTCTCAGGGCAAGTAGGAAAGCATCTGCATCCAGGCTGTTGAGGAGATCGAGGTGTATGCAACGGGTGGTCAAACATTTAAAGATCACACCCCATCGTTTCTCTGAGCGACGGCCTACTTTGACAGTGAATGGCCCAAAGCAGTCGACACCTGTCAAGAAGAATGGTGGTTGATAGAGTCGAAGCCGAGCTAAGGGTAGGTCAGCCATAACGGGCACCGTCGGCTTAGCCCTCCACCTCTGGCATTGCACGCACCCCCTCTGGTGTTTCTTCACCGCCCGTCTACCTCTCAGAACCCAGTAGTAACGACGGAGTTCAGCAAAAACTCTGTCCGGCCCTGGATGAAGTAGGCATTCATCAAAGTCTTGGATGAGTAGCTTGGTAACAGCATGATGGGGGTCTAAAACTACTGGGTGACTCTCGGTTGGGATCGAGCCTTCCCATCTTCGAAGTCGTCCTCCAACTCGAATCAAACTTAATGCCGGATCAAACTCTGGAGCTAGTGTGCTCAAACGACTAGAAGGGGGCACTGGCTTACCTGCTTTCAAAGCTTTGAATTCTAGTGGGAAAGATTCGGCTTGGGACTGGCTCAAGATTAATGCTTCAGCACTCTGATAATCAGGTTTAGAGGTCCCTGCATCTAAAACAGCCGCCCCATGAAGGGACTGGTAAGTTGCCTTAACCAAGGCCTTCCAGGAGGTGAATTGAGCTGCGTCGGGCATCTGCGGATTCTGTTCATCTATAGTTAGTCCATAGAATACAGTCTTCCTGGTTTCTGACGAATCATCTCGATTCTCCATCGGAGGTATAGCTGGCCACTGATCTGGTGGTCCACGTAAGAAATTAGGTCCCTGATTCCACCTACTGGGGCTCGCCAGCTCTACAAGCGTCTTTCCCCGGGTGATATCATCTGCCGGGTTACTTGCTGAGTTCACGTACCTCCACGAATGCAGGTCAGTTAACTCCTGGATCTCAGCCACTCTAGTGCCGACAAAGACTTTATATCGGCAAGACTCCAACTGAATCCAGGTCAAGACAGTAGTCGAGTCGGCCCAGAGTGTGGTCGTCTCAATAGGAATGGTCAACTCTTGCACTAGAAGCTTAGCAAGCTGGGCACCAGCCAAGGCTGCACAGAGTTCCAACCGAGGCATTGTCAGTTGTTGTTTGGGAGCCACCCTTGACCTTGCCATCACAAAGGAGGTGTGGAGTTCACTTTGTTGCTCGATAAGCAGGTACGCTACTGATCCATAGGCCACCTCGGCCGCATCACAGAAAATGTGCAAGCTCCTCACTGAAATGTGATGGGAAGTAACAACGGGGAAACACTACCTTAGCAAGGTTAGGTAGTTCCTGTTCCCAAGCTCTCCACCTCTCAAGAAGATCTATGGGAAGGTTCGGGTCATCCCAACTTCTTGGTTTAGCCCAGAGTTTCTGGACTAGAATTTTAGCCCTGGTGGTAAAGGGGGTGACAAGCCCTAAAGGGTCATATTGGGATGCCAGGACTTTGTAGATGTGCCTCATTGTGGGGAGCCACTCTGCTGTCGGGCGGTGCTTGTAACCCAGATGATCATCCAGGCAGTGCCAGATCAGACCTAGAGCTGGCTCCTGAGGGTCGGAATGATTCTTTTGCAGCCATAGCTCTATGCTCTCTGATTTTGCATTAGCTGGTAAGTGCTCAACAACTGAGGGGACGTTGCTGGCCCACTGCCGGATTTCAAACCCCCCTGAGACAAGTAAAGATCTCATCTTGTTGACCAACTGCCTAGCTTCATCCACAGTGGGAAGACTCTGTAGGCAGTTGTCAACATAAAAGCACTGTTCTATCGACTGCCTTACTTCACCATCACATGGCTGGTGGTCCCTGACGTGTTTCTGAAGTGCGAAGGTCGCACAGCATGGGCTGCAAGTCGTTCCAAATGGTAAGACTTGCCATTGGTAGACATCAGGCTGATCTCCTTTCCGCATCACGTACCTCCACGAATGCAGGTCAGTTAACTCCTGGATCTCAGCCACTCTAGTGCCGACAAAGACTTTATATCGGCAAGACTCTGACTGAATCCAGGTCAAGACGGTAGTCGAGTCGGTCCAGAGTGTGGTCGTCTCAATAGGAATGGTCAACTCTTGCACTAGAAGCTTAGCAAGCTGGGCACCAGCCAAGGCTGCACAGAGTTCCAACCGGGGCATTGTCAGTTGTCGTTTGGGAGCTACCCTTGACCTTGCCATCACAAAGGAGGTGTAGAGTTCACTTTGTTGCTCGATAAGCAGGTACGCTACTGCTCCATAGGCCACCTCGGCCGCATCACAGAAAATGTGCAAGCTGAATCTTGCCGCGTCCTCACTGAAATGTGATGGGAGGTAACAACGGGGAAACACTACCTTAGCAAGGTTAGGTAGTTCCTGTTCCCAAGCTCTCCACCTCTCAAGAAGATCTATGGGAAGGTTCGGGTCATCCCAACTTCTTGGTTTAGCCCAGAGTTTCTGTACTAGAACTTTAGCCCTGGTGGTAAAGGGGTTGACAAACCCTAAAGGGTCATATTGGGATGCCAGGACTTTGTAGATGTGCCTCATTGTGGGAAGACACTCTGCTGTCGGGCGGTGCTTGTAACCCAGATGATCATCCAGGCAGTGCCAGATCAGACCTAGAGCTGGCTCCTGAGGGTCGGAATGATTCTTTTGCAGCCATAGCTCTATGCTCTCTGATTTCGCGTTAGCTGGTAAGTGCTCAACAACTGAGGGGACGTTGCTGGCCCACTGCCGGATTTCAAACCCCCCTGAGGCGAGTACAGATCTCATCTTGTTGACCAACTGCCTAGCTTCATCCACTGTGGGAAGACTCTGTAGGCAGTTGTCAACATAAAAGCACTGTTCTATCGACTGCCTTACTTCACCATCACATGGCTGGTGGTCCCTGACGTGTTTCTGAAGTGTGAAGGTCGCACAGCATGGGCTGCAAGTCGTTCCAAATGGTAAGACTTGCCATTGGTAGACATCAGGCTGATCTCCTTTCCGCATGTTTCGCCAGATGAACCTCAGGAGAGGTTTGTACTCCGGCAGGAGTCTTACCTGGTGAAACATAGCACGTATGTCACTGCTAATTGCGACCGCGTGCTGTCGGAATCGAATTAGGACTCCTAGTAATGAAGCGCCAGGAAGGAGCTGCTGGTTGAGGGAGAGACCTTGATGGATGAAAGAACAGTTGAAAACTAGTCTGTCCTTACCGTTGTGGTGGACAAGATGATGTGGGATAAACCACGATTCTTCATCTGAATGTAGAAGTTCTAACGGGACCTTAACAACATATCCTGCATCCAAAAGCTTCTGAATCTCGGCCTCACGTACCTCCACGAATGCAGGTCAGTTAACTCCTGGATCTCAGCCACTCTAGTGCCGACAAAGACTTTATATCGGCAAGACTCTGACTGAATCCAGGTCAAGACGGTAGTCGAGTCGGTCCAGAGTGTGGTCGTCTCAATAGGAATGGTCAACTCTTGCACTAGAAGCTTAGCAAGCTGGGCACCAGCCAAGGCTGCACAGAGTTCCAACCGGGGCATTGTCAGTTGTCGTTTGGGAGCTACCCTTGACCTTGCCATCACAAAGGAGGTGTAGAGTTCACTTTGTTGCTCGATAAGCAGGTACGCTACTGCTCCATAGGCCACCTCGGCCGCATCACAGAAAATGTGCAAGCTGAATCTTGCCGCGTCCTCACTGAAATGTGATGGGAGGTAACAACGGGGAAACACTACCTTAGCAAGGTTAGGTAGTTCCTGTTCCCAAGCTCTCCACCTCTCAAGAAGATCTATGGGAAGGTTCGGGTCATCCCAACTTCTTGGTTTAGCCCAGAGTTTCTGTACTAGAACTTTAGCCCTGGTGGTAAAGGGGTTGACAAACCCTAAAGGGTCATATTGGGATGCCAGGACTTTGTAGATGTGCCTCATTGTGGGAAGACACTCTGCTGTCGGGCGGTGCTTGTAACCCAGATGATCATCCAGGCAGTGCCAGATCAGACCTAGAGCTGGCTCCTGAGGGTCGGAATGATTCTTTTGCAGCCATAGCTCTATGCTCTCTGATTTCGCGTTAGCTGGTAAGTGCTCAACAACTGAGGGGACGTTGCTGGCCCACTGCCGGATTTCAAACCCCCCTGAGGCGAGTACAGATCTCATCTTGTTGACCAACTGCCTAGCTTCATCCACTGTGGGAAGACTCTGTAGGCAGTTGTCAACATAAAAGCACTGTTCTATCGACTGCCTTACTTCACCATCACATGGCTGGTGGTCCCTGACGTGTTTCTGAAGTGTGAAGGTCGCACAGCATGGGCTGCAAGTCGTTCCAAATGGTAAGACTTGCCATTGGTAGACATCAGGCTGATCTCCTTTCCGCATGTTTCGCCAGATGAACCTCAGGAGAGGTTTGTCCTCCGGCAGGAGTCTTACCTGGTGAAACATAGCGCGTATGTCGCCGCTGATTGCGACCACGTGCTGTCGGAATCGAATCAGGACTCCTAGTAATGAAGCACCAAGGCAAGGGCCAGGAAGGAGCTGCTGGTTGAGGGAGAGACCTTGATGGATGAAAGAACAGTTGAAAACTAGTCTGTCCTTACCGTTGTGGTGGACCAGATGATGTGGGATAAACCACGATTCTTCATCTGAATGTAGAAGTTCTAACGGGACCTTAACAACATATCCTGCATCCAAAAGCTTCTGAATCTCGGCCTCATAAACCTTGGCTTTCTCTGGATCTTTACCCAAGCGTTTCTCTGTGCTCCTAAGATTGTGTAGAATGGAATCTCTGGTACCCTTCAGTGGTGGTGCATTTGGAGCACGTAGGAGAGGGGTTGCATAACGCCATGTTCCATCCACTTTCACACGCTGTGTTCTGCTCTCCAGCAGTTCTATGGCAAATTGGTCTTGTCGTGAACGCATTACCAGCTTCTCGTTGCGGTAAGGAAGAATGTCCAATTGCCACAGCTGTTCGACCTGTTGGAGAATAGGATCTCGCGCTGCAGAAAGGGAAGTGAGTAAGCACTGTTGAGGCGATACCTGGTGCAGAAGAAGCCCATCTGGTCCTTGCAGCACCCAACCGAGCTGTGTATGTACAGCGGCTGGTCCGCCATCGGGGCCCAATCTAATGGGTTCCTTCGCAGTGATTAAACCTGGGTAGTCGAATCCGATTAAGACTAGAGGCTGAATCTTACTAAATGATGGAAGTGGAATACCACACAAGTGACAATAGCTCCGCTGAAGTCTCTTGATCGGGTATGTCTGCTCAGTCAGAGTCAGGAGAGGTGCAGAGAATACACCGGCTAGGTTGTACCTTTCGTTCGGTTTGGACTGGGATGAAAGCTGAAACTGGACTGAACGTCCCTCCATTTGAGTAACATCATGACGAATGGTTTTGAAGGGCCATAACCTCCTTCTTTCCTTGTAGGCCTAGTTGCTGGACCGCCGCAGGGAGAATAATGCTGCGCTTGTGCCCCATCATCAAGGATGGCGTAGGTTTGTATAGACTTCTCGCCTTTCCATAGTAGCACAGGGGTGACCTTTAGGAAGACACGTCATGTAGGGTTAGGTGGTGTCACGTAGATGCAGTCGCTTGCTGTTGTAACTAGCATGATGCTCGGGCCCTGCTCTGCTATGCGATGGAGAACTCTGAGGTGCACATCCCCACACTCCAGGCATGGTTTCTTCAGTGTGCACTCATTACAATTGTGGCTGGTGCGTCCGCATTTCCAGCATCTCTTGCCATTTCTTATCCATTTGATAAGTCGCTCAGGTGGGCATTCAGTGATCTCATTGCACTGAGAGAGGTAGTGCTCTTCACTGTGACAGAATAAACACAGCCGCTTTGTTCTCTTGTCAGGTTGCTGGTTTGTAAAAGCCTCTGTTCGGACGGGCTGTACTTCCTTAACCTTCTTGGGCTGATTACTCCCATGATAGAAAGAGACAGACTAGGTCTGTGGCTTAATAATAGCAGGACGCTGTCTACGTGGAGCCGGAGCCTTCTCAGTGTGGTAGCGTTGAGCCATCTTTGATGAAAGCCATTGAGCTTCAGTCTTGACCTTCAACCACTCTGTAAGGTCATGTAAATTATATGGATTCAGACTGTCTGTACTCAGTCTTCCCCTTAACTGGAGGTGCTCTATGAAACCATCCCTGTAGTGTTTAGGGAGTTTACTAAGCAGCCTGTCAACATGTCCGGTACAGGTAAGCTCTCGTCCATGTGGTCCCTCCAGGGACGTAAGCATGCCCACTAGAAGGTCAACGTTTAGAGCAAAGTTCTGAAATGCTTTAGAATCTCCAGCCTTGATATCTGGTGAGTTCATTAGAGCCGCAACCTCACTTTGTGCAAGCTGGTGGGGTTGGCCATATTGGCGCTGCAAGGCTGCCATGGCTGCTGAGTAAGGTGCAGGGTGATGACGGCATGCTTGAGCGATCAGCTTCGCCTCATCCAGGACCAGCTGCTCCATTAGCACACGATATTTGTAGTGTTCGGTGAGATCAGTGCGGGGATTCAGCAGATTATCTAAGGCTATTTTCAGATCTGTGAACTCCCTCTCACTGTCATTCACAAGTTTTGGCAGTGATGGGACTGGGACTGGTTGCAACGGAGGTGCAGCAAGTACTGGCTGGTATACTGGACGTGTGGGGGCTGCCATATGTGGAATGGCGGGTGCCACTGGAGGAGGATACCAGTTCTGCACTGAAGTCTGCATGAAGGGCTGAGGAGCATAATATCCAGTGATCACGGGTGAAGGCTGATATGAATCTAACACAGGCAATGGTTGGCCCTGTGACTGACTATGTTCAGGGATCTGTAATTGGTAAGCTGGTGGCACCAGAGTACGGTGTACGGTTGTGGATATTGGCAGCTTCACTGATGTGATGGTGTGAGGCAATGAGGATATAAGATTATAGGAAGAAGGACGGGACACTGCACTGCATGCTGCTGTGTGTGGAACAGACGGTTGTAGCGTAGGTGTGCTGTACACCATATGAGCTGTAGTCTGGGATGTCTGCCACCGTACTGATTGATGGGTAGCATACCTGAGTGCTCCTTGGCAGGATGTGGGTGGCCCTATATCCAGTAATGGAATGGCTGGGACTGCCGTAGCCTTTGGCCTAACGATGGGTGGTGAGTAAGCTTGTTCCACTTGCTCTGAGAAAGGAGATACAGTGCCGCTACTTAACTCACACTCTGACTGGCTGTAATGGGAAGAGGAAGGAGATCTCCCAACATCTAACTGCTCTACCAGGTCGCTGAGCCCAGCGTCTATATTGCTCCCACTGACTATGACAGGACCTGGTCCATACTGCAGAGATGATAACTCATGGCTGATCGGCTGCATCCCAGTCGAGGCACGTACCTCCACGAATGCAGGTCAGTTAACTCCTGGATCTCAGCCACTCTAGTGCCGACAAAGACTTTATATCGGCAAGACTCTGACTGAATCCAGGTCAAGACGGTAGTCGAGTCGGTCCAGAGTGTGGTCGTCTCAATAGGAATGGTCAACTCTTGCACTAGAAGCTTAGCAAGCTGGGCACCAGCCAAGGCTGCACAGAGTTCCAACCGGGGCATTGTCAGTTGTCGTTTGGGAGCTACCCTTGACCTTGCCATCACAAAGGAGGTGTAGAGTTCACTTTGTTGCTCGATAAGCAGGTACGCTACTGCTCCATAGGCCACCTCGGCCGCATCACAGAAAATGTGCAAGCTGAATCTTGCCGCGTCCTCACTGAAATGTGATGGGAGGTAACAACGGGGAAACACTACCTTAGCAAGGTTAGGTAGTTCCTGTTCCCAAGCTCTCCACCTCTCAAGAAGATCTATGGGAAGGTTCGGGTCATCCCAACTTCTTGGTTTAGCCCAGAGTTTCTGTACTAGAACTTTAGCCCTGGTGGTAAAGGGGTTGACAAACCCTAAAGGGTCATATTGGGATGCCAGGACTTTGTAGATGTGCCTCATTGTGGGAAGACACTCTGCTGTCGGGCGGTGCTTGTAACCCAGATGATCATCCAGGCAGTGCCAGATCAGACCTAGAGCTGGCTCCTGAGGGTCGGAATGATTCTTT